GAGCCCCAGTCCCATCCGAGCCCCTCGGGCAGCCAGGCCCCTGAAGAGGAGGCCGCCGAAGAAAACCAATGAGCTGCCGCATGCGAACAGACTCCCAGGGATCTTTGGTGAGGTCCGGGGCAGGCCTGGGGCTGGGCCCGAGAACAGTTCCGGGGGACAGAACCATCCGGGGCGTCTTCAAGCCTGTGCTCACCCTCAGCACTTTCCTGACACCCTCCTTTGCCTCGTGTGCCCTGAGGACCTGCCACTGCCCTCTCCGTCCCTGCCACCCAGAAGCGCCTTCTCGGCCCTCCCCTGGCTCACCAGGGCTTTTTCCAGAAGCCTTTGTCAGCATCAGGTGCCCCTTCCTCGAGGCACTGGTGCCTCTCAGGTCTCCCTCCCCTGGGGACCGAGGATCCACAGTTGTTTATGTGAGGGTCTCCCCACCAGACTGAGCCCCTCAGGATCAGGGGTGGGCCTGCCCGGCCCTCCTGCCCTCCATTCCTCCACGGTGAGTCAGCCCTTTGGCCTCCGTGGAGCCACTCAATCCGGTGGAATGGGTGTAGCAGGAGAGGTGGGGTGAGGTCAGGAGGTGTCTCTGCAGAAAGGGAGGAGCCACCTGATGGCCCACGGTCCCCTGGCTGTGTACTGGAGCATCGGGGGCCACAGGCTCGAAGTCGGGAGGCTGGGAGGGCAGGGTTACTCTGTAGCTATCGGGAGCCACCTGGAGCCATCGACGTTTCTCGAGCTGGGTCATGGCACCAGCAGAGCTGTAGGATGGGCTTTATGACACCAGATACGTTAGTTTCACTTCATTCATTTGTTCAACACATGTGCCCAGTGGGGTGGGTCCCCGCCCTGGGAGCTCCCTGGGGTAGCTGCCTGAGCAGGAACCCCAGAAAAGACCTGCTTCTGTCCCTGCAGATGATGTTCACGGTGCCGATGGGCGGCACGTTTGCCGGCGGCATGAGCTCTACGTCAGCTTCCAGGACCTCGGCTGGCTGGTAATTTCTGACTCTCCTTCTTCTTAAATAACAGGCCCCATCCGGAGGTTCTAAGTGTAGCTCCAGGAGGAGGTAGAATTATGGGTGACTTTCACTTTCTCATGCATTAGGTTCTTCTGTGTTTTCTGAAGGGAGAATGTCTTTTCCTGTGAGAAGGTGCTTTTTAGTAACAACCATGAAAACAGGATAGGCACCAGAACCTTCTCTGGACGTGTGGACTCCTATGCGCCTGAACCCACTATTCCCGACTTCCCCTGACCGCTGGTGCGCACCCCGCTCTGTGCACTGCACATGCACGTGCAAGGCCTTCGCGGACAGTATGTGGGTGCCCAGACTGACAAGACACGCTCGCGGTCAGACACACGGCACACACGTAGCGGGAATCCTCAGCCCTAACACGTCACATCTGCAACAGGGAAACGGAGGCTGGGCGGGCAGTGCGCGTGCGCATCTGCTGGGACTGCGGCTCTAGGAGACGTGGGCAGTGGGGGCAGGTGGGGAGGACGTGGCCCAGTGCCGACTGCCCATGAGGGGGACAGAGCTGTGCCCGGCCCTGCCTGCTGAGGGTCTCCCGGCGGTGCCCGGCCTCTTGGGGAACCTGCCTGGAGGGACCCTGGGGGGCTGACTGGCCTGGGGTTGGGGGAGGGGGTGTCTGGATGGGACTCACCTTCTCCCATTACCCCCCCAGGACTGGGTCATTGCCCCCCAAGGCTACTCGGCCTATTACTGTGAGGGGGAGTGTTCCTTCCCGCTGGACTCGTGCATGAACGCCACCAACCACGCCATCCTGCAGTCCCTGGTCAGTACTGCGTCCGTCGGTCCGGGCCCACGGGGAGAGGGGCTGGGCACAGCCAGGGGGACGGAAGCCCCTGCTGGGGGATCGGGGGCTCTCTCTGCCCAGAACCTTCCCTGGACGTGTAGACTCCTATGCGCCTGAACCCACTATTCCCGACTTCCCCTGACCGCTGGTGCGCACCCCCCTCTGTGCACTGCACACGCACGTGCAAGGCCTTCGCGGACAGTATGTGGGTGCCCAGACTGACAAGACACGCTCGCGGTCAGACACACGGCACACACGTAGCGGACGTGCGTCCCTCCCGGGACCTGTGTGCTCTGAGCACACTCACACCGTGTGCGCGGGCGCGCTCGGCTCCCGGGACGCGGATGGCCGTGGGGTGAGTGACGCGCACGTGCGTTCAGCCGCCCGCTGCGTGTGTGCGCGGGGCGGGGCGCAGGCGTGCCGGGCTGAGCCGCTGGGCTTCGGCCTCCCGTTCGGCTCACCTTGCCGTTGGCGCTCTTTCCTGGCTCTTTCGCCCTTTGTGCTTTCCCCAGATGGTATGGCTCCCAGTGCTGCGGCTGGGGGACCTTCAAATGCTGAAAAATTGCTTAGTGTTTTAAATGTTTATTGATTCTAGGGTTGAGAATTTTTTCTAGAACATTTAGGTAGAATTTACTCCTATGTTAATCTAGTAATAGGTTAAGTGATGCCTCTGAACAAGAGTAAACGTATCACCAACAGCAACTTTGACCTTGTGGTAACACTGCCTTTCTCAGATCAAGTGGGATTTGCTGCCCCCAGGAACCCCTTTCCTGGGAGAAGCTCAGGAGTGATGAGATGCCTGTGCTTCCTCTGGCCCAGGAGGGCGTGTGGACTGATGGTCACAGCTGCAGCTCCCACGTCAGGATGGCTGGGTGGGCTTGGGCTGCAGGGCAGTACAGGGAGGCCAGGAAGGTGACGCTGGGGTTGGGCAGGGGCCGACTCGTAGGGCCTTAGGGTCCCACCTAAGGTGCCAGGTGGGTGGATTGATTTCCAAGGAAACTGAGAAGCCGGTATAGAGTTTTAGCAATACTAGGTCAACGATCTGACTTACTCTATAAGTATCTGCCTGGCTGCATTGCGCAGATGGACGGGGCCGAGTGAGGGGCTGCTGAGGTCCCCTGACAAGGGGTCGGGGCACCTGGTGGAGGGCAGCGGCCGGGTTGCTTGTGGGTGTGGATGCGGGGTGGAAGAAACCCAGGAGGCTGCAGGCGAGGGCCACGTGAGGACGGGGATGGGGAGCCTTGTCTGGGGGCAGAGTCGTTGCCGGGGGATGTGGTGGAGGGGGGGAAACAGCAGTTCTGCACCAGCTGCATCGTAAGTTTGAGGCCCAATTAGACTTCAAGCGGGGCCACCGGTGGGAAACCGAACCGACAGGTCTGAGGTCAGAGGATTGGCCAGACCGAAGCTCTGTGAGAGAGTGGCATGTGGCCGAGCTTCGAGTCCTGAGAACAGATGAGCTTCTCTGGGGAGACCGCAGACACCGGAGAGGTGGCTAGGCCTGGGAGGCCAGGGCAGTGATGGGGGTCTTGGGGTGTCCTGGGGGCCAAGAGAAGGAAGCATTTCCCTCTGGGCTCACCGCCCCCCCCCAGCCCTTCTCCATGTAGCAGCCAGGGGTCCCACTAAAGCACAACTGAGCACCTTGTTCTCAGCTGAGAAACTTGCCTTGCCTCCCGTCGTTCCTCAGATGAAGGCTGAGCCCTTGGCCTGGGACACAGGGCCCCTCATGAGCCGCCCTGCCGACCTCGCCAGCGTCCCCACTCACCCCAGCGCCCTTATTTCCCTGTGCAGGCTCAGTGCCAGGATGGGCTGACCTTCCCACCTTTCTGCCTTTGCACTTGCTGTTCCCTCCACCTGGAGGGCCTCCTCCTCTGCCTCGGGCCCAGCCACCACCTGCTCACCTGCATGCCTCATGTCTGTGGCCCTTCCCTGCCAGGGGCAGTCACCATGCTCATGCTCCCAGTGCTGAGGGCCTGTTTGCTGTGCCACCGCCCGTGGGTCCTTTTTGTCTACTGCAATGTCCCCTGTCTCCCCTTCCCTCCCCACGGAGTCTGTGAGAGCAGCGACCGTGTCTGGGACATTTCTGTGCCCCGTCCTGCCAGGGCTGGCGCAAGGCACGTGTCCTAGATACGTTTGTGTTGGAAATGAGAAAAGAACCATTATACCCATTTGGCAGAGGAGAAAATGAGGCCCACAGATGCGTGATTTGTACCCAAAGATGCACAGCCAGTAAGTGACCCTCCAATTTGGTCTCCCAAGAGCTCAAAGACAAGCTGAATGGAATGGCACATTAGCCTCCGCAGGTCATTCTGTTTGGTGCCAGATAGGGTAAAAGGCCTTCTTTCTGTCACTCAGCTGACAAAGCTCTCCTGTGGGGGGAGTCTCAGAAAGGTCGCACCCCTGTGGTGCCTGACTTTTCCCCAGCACCCCAAGGTAGGAAAGGCCCTCCCTGGTTTCCAGCCACGTAGAGCCCCATGGTCCGGTGCAGGTGGGTGGTGTCCCCCGGTTTCTTTCACGTGGGCCCACGAACACCAAGCCCCGCCCCCACACGTGGAACTGGGGAAGCTGGGGGCAGCAGCACCCACGTCCCCGCCTGGCTGGACATCTGCATGGAGGCCTCAGCCTCCCCCTGGGCCTCTGAGAGGCTGTGGGGCCCCAGCCACCCATTGTCCTTCCAGCAGGCCAGCTCAGAGCTGGGGCAGCAGGGACAAGGCAGGGCCCTGGGGGGCGGGGGCCAGGCTGCCAGACAGGTTCCCCCACCAGCCAGTTTCGTCTGGTCCCGCTCGGCAGCCTCCGAGAGGGCCAGGAGTCCTGGGCTGCAGGGCGGCCGCCACCCCCAGGTTCGGTAGGCTTCCTCTTCTCTCCTGCCTCCCCCCACCTCGGCCTCCTCCATGTTGGGGGCCCGGACCATGAGTCACGGGTAGTGCAGCCCCTCCTGCCGCCGCTCGGGAGAACTGTTTTTAGGGGGCTGAGAACAGGCTGCTCCCTCAGGCAGGCTCTTTGCTGGCAGTTAGGCGGTTAGGAGGGTCGCAGGTCCCCGCACCCGGTCCCCGGCCTGCCGCAGACAGCCCCGTGACACGGCACCATGCACGGTCTCTGTGCCCTCGTTCTCGGTCTGCCCAGAACAGGAGCTGCCTTAGAGCTCGTTACCAGGGCTGGGAAGTGCTCTGAGGAATAACAGCTTCAGACCCCAAGGGTGGACCTAGGGTTCTAGGCTTTGTCCGGTTCTGTGAACGTTCACCGGCCCACATTTGGGAGGGGAGACAGACCGCAAATGGCTAACGGGGACAGGAGATGATCAGGGACATCATAGAAGCACAGAGAGGAGCGGAGGGGACCCCGGAGGGCTCCTGGGCACACCGTGTGCTGGGGCGTCCCGTCTGAGGGCAGTGGGGCGGGGCAGGGGTGCAGGGGGATGGGGTGGGGCGGGTCTCCGCGGGAGCACCTGCCAGGGGCTGCAGGTGGAAGATGGAGCAGGTGGGGGTTCCAGGGGAAGGCCACGTGTTCACGCCTCTGCCCCCGCCCCCGCCAGGTGCACCTGATGAAGCCAGATGCGGTCCCCAAGGCGTGCTGCGCCCCCACCAAGCTGAGCGCCACCTCCGTGCTCTACTACGACAGCAGCAACAACGTCATCCTGCGCAAGCACCGCAACATGGTGGTCAGGGCCTGCGGCTGCCACTGAGGCCCTGCCCCCGTCGCTGCTCCCCCGCCCCACCCCGGGTCAGGCCCCTCTCCAGAGGCAGGAAACCCTCCAACCCAGCCTGACCTCAGACGGGTTGGCCCTTGGAGATCAACATATCTATGCTCCTCTCTCCTTCCTGCCAGGGCTGGATCTTCTCCAGGCCCCTCCTCCCCCTTCCCTGCCTGAGGTTTGTGACAGTCTTTTGGCCTCCAGGCCTGGTGGTCTGAGTCATCAAGCAGGTTCTCTCCCAGCCTCCTCCTCCAGAAGCATGTGCTGACCAACATTTTGGGTTTGGAACAAAAGTCGCGTCTGAGGATCTATCCATGTCCATTGCTGGCCCAGGCTTGGGGTAATATGGACTGAACTGAGAGGCACCTAGGGCCCAAAATGGCTCCCTCGGGCTCTTTGCTGTCCATTCGAGGGCGTGGATATGTGTACACAGGGTCTGGTCCACCTTCGGTTGCCTGCCCCTCCCAGGCATTTTCTGGGTACTTTTGTTGGAATGTGAACTCGCCGTCGTTGTTGTGTCGTCGTGGATCTGAATTATCAACCTGCTGGTAGGCATGTGGGTCAACTCAAGAACGAGCTGAATGAACAACATGATGTAGGGCCAAGGCCAATGCAGCCGTCCCCCTCCATCTTCCCCCCATCTTCCTGCCTTGATCTGCCTCTGCTGTCTGGGGGAGAGGTACAGGGCATGGACATTTGGCCATTGTAGAAACAAAAAATTTGGAAGGCTTCACTCGCCTATCTGTCACCACGTTGAACCATGAGGAGCTCAGCTCCATGGAAAAGTTATCTTTTTATTGAGCCTAGCATGGTGGATACACTGGGTGGCCCAGGATGACAGTGCTCAGCACAGATGACATCATTTCCCTTTCCCTTTGGCATGGCAAACATTAATCATCCATCTTGATATTTTTTCCTTCCAAATCTGTATAGAATTTCAAAATGATCTGTATTAGAACTCCATGCCGCCACAGCCAAGAGATCAGAGCTGACATGTGAAGTGAAAACTGTTTGCCATCTTCTGCCATGCTAAGGAGCAATCCACTTCACCCACAGTGGTGCCTCTGTGACCCCAGGCAGCCTGTGGCTGGGCCTAGGGCCTCCCAGCACCTGCTCGTGTCCAGAAGTTGTCAGAAACAGGCTGTCATAATCTGCATCGCCCTGTGAGCCCGAGACAAGGTCCCTGTCCCAGGGGAGTGACAGGCAGTAATCAGGCCGGCCCGGGGTGGGGAGGGTCCTGGAAACTGCCACAGGCCGCTGGAACGTTTGATTTCTGACTCGCTAAGCCCGTAAGTTACCTGCTGGGGCAGACAGAGTCCCGCTGCCCAAACCCTGAAATACTGTGTCGTTCAAAGCAGCTTGGGGACCCGACCCCCGTGTGCCCCAGGATGCGCCCCTCAACAGTCACTCGGCACCCCGAGGAGGGGCCCCGGGACAGCAGGTGGGACAGTGGGTGTGGACGCTGGGGCCCTGCTGCAGGACAGCGGCGCCTCCGCAGGGACCGGGAAGGGACTCTGGAGCGAGCACGGAGGGAGAGACCCTCCCCGGGTACACGGAAGATGGGCCCAGACTGTCTGCAAGGTGGAGAATTCCCCATTAGTGCAGGGATCTGAACTCTGGCGTAGATGTTAGGAGACCGGATTTGTAGATGGCTTCCCTGTCTGGGCCTCATTTTCCATCCATACATGAAGGCAATGAGCTTTTCGGGTCTCCAAAGGGCCTCCTGCCAGGAATCTTTTCTGCCAGCCCTTTTTCACACTGCGCCCAGATCCAGCCTCGGCACCCCAAACTCGGTTGAGGTGGCAGTGACAGGTCAGAGTTGGTATGTAACAGGGAACCTGTTTGCCATTCTAGTCCTCTGACACTTCTGTCTTCCTAACATCGAGGACTGTCTTTTGGGCAAATATAAATTTAACATTAGCCAGTTATTTTAACAGTTTTTAACTTTACCTGGTACCTTTGGTGCCCAGCCAACAGCCTGGCACAATTAGGGTGCACCAGGAATGTCTGTCAAATCATTCCCAAGGCTTATAGACTGGGAGCACACCTCACCTGTCAGGCTGAGCACGGCACGGATGCCGGGAGGCCGTAACCTTCCTTTTGCATGCCCGACACCTGAAAAATAAGCCTTTGCCTGCCTACCTGGCTCAGACTTCAGCAACCTTTGCCATCCACGCAGTCACTGAATGAGATCGCGTAGAAAAAGACCTGAGCAGTGAAACAATTGTGAATGGATACAAGGCCCATGCATTTTATCCCGTTTATTGCATGATATTGCACGCACTTGCTGCATGCGTTGTATTCCCAGTTACCAGTTTGCTGAGCCAAGCACCGCAGCTGCAGGGAGCAGCCCAGATGCCACCGTTTCCCTTTCTCTCGCTCAGGGCATGGCTTGTTTATCTGGTTGCACGGGACCAGAAGGATAAATACGGGCAGCTGGTCAGACCCGACAGCGACCACGAGTCAGTGACTTGCCAGGAAGGGAGGGCATGTGGGAAAGGGCTGATGACAAATGCACGGCAGTCAGCCTTGGTTTGGGCAGTGCGAGTCTGGCCTCAAGGCCAAGCAGCACATTAGTGTTCGCGGTTTTCTAAGGTGGGAAAGTGACCCGTTCTGGAAAAATCCCTAAGAAATAGGAAAGCAGCATAGCAAGAGGGATTTTGAAGTCAAATGGGTTTGAACCTTGGTTTTTCTTCTGTGGAGCAGGATATTGGTTCTTTCCTTCCAAGCTATTACAAAGATCAGATATGGACATTCACATGTAGGACAATGTCTGCCAAATAAACACTTAGCAACAGGTACCTGTTGGCGTTATTACAAAAGAATTTGCTGATCTGCTTAGTCCCTTCCGTGCTTGTCCACTAAACCTCCTCCCAGGAAGTGTTCTGTAGGTGACGGGAGTATTTATTTCAGAGCTGAGCTTTTTCCTGAAAAATCTACACCCTGCAATCCATGGAGGGAGAACGTTGTATTCTCACCTGCTTTCAAGGCCTAAGGAAAGTGCCTGGTTATGGCCAGGGCTGTGAAGCTTTCCCTGTGTTCCCAGAGGCAAGGGGATCCCACCAGCCTGCTGAAGGTACAAAGCTTGACCCACCCTTTTAAAAAATGGGTTTTTCATTTATTACAAAAATAATGCAGTTTTGGAGGAAAAACTGGAAAAATACAACTGAAATCGCCATAGTTGTAGGACTCAGATAAACACACTTAATATTTTGGTGAATTTATTTCTCAGCCTCTATCTTAGGATATACACATATAGATGTTATATATCAGATATTTTTACAAAATTAGGATCATACTTATATAAATTGCTTTGAAATATGCTTTTCCCACTTCATTATGCAGTAAAAATTTTCCTGTTAATAAGTATTTTTTGAAAACATGGCTTTCTAGGTTTTTAACCCCCGAAGCCTGCGAGACTCAGTGTTCACAACTAAAAAGTAGGTCCCCAATGCCTTCCTGGGAGGGTTGCTGCAGGCTGTTGTGACTGGGGCCTAGAGCTCGCAGCGCCTGAATCCGACAGGGGGCTCCAGCAGCCGCAGGCCTGACCTCAGGGCCACAGGCTGAAGGAGTCCGCGCACCGGCAAAACCAGCCCTGTTTGCCGTAACAGAGCAACACGCACATGGACCAGGAGGCCCGAGGCAGGCACTCCGTCCTCGGGCCACAGCAAAGGCCGCATGGCACACGCCGGTCCACTTCCAACAGTGCCGTCTTGGCACGCACCAGAGGTTTGGTGCTGTGATAGCTGAACCAGGCAGCCGGGCCGCTGCTCCCGGGCTCTGGGCTTGGCTTCCTTGGGTCTCCCCAAAGGGTCCAGGCTAATTATAGGGACCATGACCGTGTCTTCCCCCAGGGCCTTGGGCCCCCTGCCTTAGACTGAGGCTAGAGCCCAGTAAACCTCCCAGGACCCCATTAAACTAGGGGGAGGCAGGCCGAGCTTCCTGTCCCAGCTCTGCCATATTCTGGGTGACTCTGCAGCATGTCACCCGGGCCGTGGTTTCCCTCTGTATAGGGTTCTGCTGTGGATACAGTGATAACACCTGTGGACACTCTGGAGAGCACCGGGAGGGGCAGTGAGCCCAGTGGGTGCTACCAGGGAAGAACAGAAAGTAACAAGGTCATTGTCACAGAAGTCAGGCCCCTCTTGGGAGGTGGCCATGCTACACCCTGTATACGCCTCCTTTCCTGGTGACTGACCTGTGATGGCCAGAGTCTGCCCTCAGAGTGGGGGCCTGTGCTTTGAGGGAAGGTCTCTTTTGGGAGCTCCACAGGGTCAAGGGTAACCATGTGGTACATCCTAGCCTCAAGGAGACAGAAACCCTGAGCAGGAGCTCAGCCAAGGGCTGGGAGTCCGCTGGGTACACAGAAGCCAGAGGTAGGGCCAGAATGACATCATCCCTCACAGGAGTGCTCCCAGGGTCACCAGGGCCAGGAGGCATCAGGCCTCTCCTGCATCTGGCTTGTCCAGATCTCAAGATGAAAAAGCCCAGCCCGGTGGATTCTGAATGGTCCTGGTAACCCAACCACAGAGAGGTGTCTAGTGGCCATGGGGCTCAGTCCCTGCTCAGGGCCTTCAGCAGGTGAGGGATTCTTGAAAACCACCTGGCTGAGCAGTATGTGCAGAGGGAATGGAGAGAGGAGCCAGCCTGACTTGAGCAGTGGCCGCATTAGAAGGACCAAGCTCAGCACAGGGTGGGACCATGTGTTTCAGCCATCAGCAAACTTGTCCTACAAAGGTTCAAGCAGTCAATATTTTAGGCTCTGAGGCTGTGTTGGTTCATTTTGTGTCAACTTGGCTAGGCCACGATAGCCAGTTTTTGGTCAAACACCAGTCTAGATGCTGCTGAGAAGGTACTTTTCAGATGTGATTAATGTCTAAAGCAGCAGACTGGAAGTAGCGCAGATTACCTTGCACAATGTGGGTGGGCCTCACCCAATCAGTGGAAGGCTGTTAAGACAGAGAAGACTGAGACTGCACGAGGGAGGAGGAATTCTGCCTCCAGACAGCCTTCGGACCCGAACTGCACCATCAACTCTTCCCTGGGTCTCCAGCCTGCTGGTCCTACAGAATTCCGACTTGCCAGCCCCCACAATCACGGAGCCAAGTCCTTAAAATAAATCTTCCTCTATATACATATCTACACCCAGCCTACTGGTTCTGTTTCTCTGGAGAGCCCTAACATAGGGACCACACAGTATCTGTCCCCGCAGAAGCAGCCACAGAGAATATGTAAATGGATGGATGTGGCTGTCTTCCAGTAACTTTTTGCTCAACAGAAAAGCAGCAGGTTGGATTAGGCCCACAGAGCCGGGTGGCCTCCTGCCTCTGGACAAGTAAGCCCAGTACCCGGCACAGAGAGGCGCTCTGAGGTATAAAACAGCGCTTACAGATCCTGTAGACTGGGGGCGCCTGGCTGGCTCAGTCAGCAGAGCATGCGACTCTTGATCTCAGGGTCAGGAGTTCGAGCCCCACACTGGGCGTAGAACTTCCTTAAAAAAAATTCTGGGGGTGGGAGGATGGGTTAGCCTGGTGGTGGGTATTGAGGAGGGCAC